CACCTCAGAAAGAGCCCAGACACCTCCCCACAACCGTATCCCCACCGGGCTGGAGGGGGAGGGGTCAACTAGGGCATGCGGAAGTTGCCAGGGAGGGAGACAGGAGGCTTTTTCTTTCAAGCTCACACCTGGACAGCTTGCTCTCCTGCCTAAGCCCTGCCTATGTTTCCCATGACCAGTGCCCGGCATGACCTGCTGACCCTGTCCCCTCCCCAGCCTCAGTCAGACTTCAGTCCCCAAGCACACAAACTGCCCAGCACACATCACAGCTGTCATTTCACTTTTATTAAATTACTAATGCCAATTTCACTTCCACAACAGATCTACAAAAGGCCTGTGTCTGTGATTTGTTCCCAAGAGCTCAGCATCAAGCCCAGCATTTGATGAATGCTCAAGGAATGTCCATGGGACAGAGGGATGACCTAGGGTGCAGAGAAAGAGGAGGGTAAGACAGACTTGGCAAAGGGAGAGTGGATGGAGCTAGTGACTGACTTGCTGGCCTCCAGTGTGTTCTGGGCCCTGGTAGGAGCCAGGAAGGTAAGAGGGGTGTGGGTAGGGACACAGGCACCCTTGGCCAGAGCCTCACAGTTTTCTCTGTGCTGCTCTAGCTCTAGATAGGGCCCTTCTCCATTCCAACACCTGAGTAGCAATCCCACCTTAAATCCCCTCTGCTTTGAATACCTGGAGTGGTTGGTCTTCTCCTAACCTCCAGGTTAGCAACAAACCAGTTTGTCCACATTTGCTATATTTTAGGCAATTTGCCAGACATAGGCTGTGGGTGAACAAGGGAATAGCAAACAGAAGCCTTGCTTCTAAGCAGCTCACAGTTCAACAGGGATGAAAAAATGAAACTCAGCCTGACCGGTGTAGCTCAGTGGTTGAGCATCAACCTATGAACCTGGAGGTCATGGTTTGATTCCCAGTCAAGGCACAGGCCTGGGCTGTGGGCTCGATCCCCAGTAGGGGGCATGCAGGAGGCAGTTGATCAATGACTCTCATCATTGATGTTTCTCTCTCCCTCTCCCTTCTTCTCTCTGAAATCAATAATAAAAAAAAAGCCTCAGCATCCCAGGAAGAGCATTCCCAGGCCTTCCCTGCAGCAGGCACACCACATACACCATGAGACCCAGTGGGGGCCAAGTCAAGTCCACAGACACTAACCCAGTGGAACACTCCCAGGACAGCAGTACACAGCCTCTGTGCCATGCAGCTCACAGGAGAGAGACCGCATATTTGGGCTTCAGTTCTGTCACCTGTAAAATGGGCATCACCTGGTTGTGCTCCAATTTTAGGTCCTGAACGTGCACTGCCTGCCTCCTGGGACAGGCATGTCAGGTGTGGTCTGTGGGAAGTGGTAGTTGCAACTACTATGGCCACTTTGCACAGCACCTGGCATGTAGCAGGCACTCAGTAAATGTCACCTGCTACTCCCTATGGTGAGTGCTCACAGAAGACTTTCAAGGACAGGAGCAGGCAGGGTCATGTTGGCTGCTCTCTCTTGGAGCTTCAGTTTGGGGTGGGCCCAGGGGGTGGGGCCACACATCCCTTGGGAATGTGTCCTTGAGTCTGCAGAGAGCTCTGGGGAAAAGGCCTCCTACAGGCCTTTGCTCGGGCAGGAGAAGGTTCTAGGCCTCAGCAAGAGGAAAGCCAGTGCCCATCCCCCCCAGCTGCCACCTTGGGACCCTCCCGAAGGACAAGGGGTGCAGTTGAAATAGTTGCTGGCATGTGTTGTCCTTTACCCTTTATACGTCCTTAGAAAACCCGCTCCCCTTCCTTTTCTCACTCCCCATCCTCAGCTTCTTGGTGGCCCTTTCTGTCCAGCTACATCCAGGGTGGCCCACAGAGGCCTCAGCCTGCATCTAGTCCTTAGGGGTTCTTACCACACAGAGAGTGGGCCCTATGCAGAATAGGGCTGGTTTCAGCAAGACATTCTCAGGACGGGCAGGTCCTGGGGACAGAAGGGCATTCCCTTTGAGGGCACAATGCAGGTGCAGCTCTAGAACCCTTCATTCTAGAACCTGCCCCTTCTTTCCCAGGGCCTGCCCTCCCCCACACCAGTCCTCAGCTGCATCAGTCCCAACCCTGAGTTTTCAGACCTGGTCATTCCCCTGCTTCTTCCCCAGTCCCAGCAAGATTTCTGAAAGAGCTGAGACCCTGTCACCTGTTCCTCTGAAACAAGTCAGGCCTCAGACTTGTCCTGTATCCTCTGTCCCCCACCCCCTCCCAAGAGCCCACCATAAGCTGGATAGCCCTAGCCCCTTCCACAGCACCCTACCCTCCACGAAGGGCAGCAGTAGGGAAAAGCTGGATCAGCAAACCTTCATGGCACAGGTGCGCAAGTACAGGGACAAGGGCTACCTGCTTTCTTCCAAGATCGGCTCCAGGGCCTTCTCCAAAGTCTACCTGGCCTACGCCACACAGGGGCAAGCAATCCCAAGCTGGCCTCCAACCTTCGAGGCAAGTGCCACACCATGGTGAGGCAGCCTGCCGTTTCCCGGTGGCCAGGGGCTTGGGGTGCCCTCCCACCCAGCCCCAGAAGGTCCTGTCCTAACCAGCTAATTCCCAGCTGCTCTGGCTTTCTCCCAGTCCCACATCCTCCCTGGAGGCCAAGGCTCCCACAGGCTGACTACTCTTGAGTTCTTGAACCCCTGAGCACATAAGTGCCCAGGACAGGAGGGAGGGAAAGGTCAGTGCTGTCCCCCAGAACTCTGTCTACCCTGCCTCTCTCCACCAAGTTCACACTGTGCACAGAGGACACAGGACCTGTCCAGTCACATCCTGCCCTCAGGGGCTATGGCCTGTACACAGCGGCTACCATCCACCCCTGCAGATGGCTATCAAGATCATCTCTACCACTGAAGCCCTGTGGAATTCTCCGAAAAGTACCTGCCTCATGAAATTTCATCACTCAGTGCTACCTACAAGCACCTGAATGTGGTAGGTAGAGATACCAAGATGTCTGTCCCCATCCTGCCCATCCCCTGCACCAGCCCTCACCACATCTGCTGTCCACACCAGGCTCGCCCCCTTCCTCATCCTGACACCCCAATCCAGGGCACTGGACAGCCCCTCCTTGGGGTAATAGCAGACGGATAGGGGTCCTGCAGGTGCACCTGTACGAGACCTATCACAACAGCCAGTGCTCCTACCTGGTGCTGGAGCTGGCAGGCCACAGAGATCTGTTGGAGCACATCAATGCAGTGTTGGACCACCGCTGCTGTCCTGGGCTGGAGGAGGAGGCCCACAGGCTATCCTGGCAGCTGGTCAGTGCTGTGGCCTTCTGCCACAACTCTGGCATTGTGCACCGGTGAGGGTACTACCCAGCCCACCCCCACCTACACAGAGGTCTACCTGAGCCCAGGCCCAGCCCCACATGCACTTCCTCACACAGGGACGTAAAGTGAGAAAATACCCTGCTGGATAACTGAGGCTTCCTAAAGCTGAACGGTGAGCCTGTGGCTCAGTCCCCACCCTTGTGCCAGCCTGCCCTGACTCTTGACCCCCACCATTCACCTTGCAGAAGGCCCCTACACACTGTTGTTCCTGTCAGGCTCCCAGCCTCCACACTGGTCTTCTCCAGACTCGACCCTAGCCTGGCTTGACCTTCAACCCTCTCAGGAGGCCTCCTCTCCACCCTTGCCCATAGCCACCCTGCAGTCACGCCACACCCCATGGCCACTGCACAGCCATCCCTCCAGAGTCTACTCCCTCACCCCCGGCCCTCCTGCTGCACCACCTGCCCTGCCCCCCTGCACAGACTTTGGCTTTGCAGACCAGTCAGGACTCAAGAACGTGCTGCTGAGCACCTCTGGGGGTTCTGTGGCCTACAAGGCCCCAGAGACCCTCATGGGCAAAAAGTACATGGGGAACAGGAGGACATGTGGAGCCTGTGAATGGTGCTCTATGGACACCCCTGGTGAGCCAGGACCCCGGGGTGGGAGGCACACCTAAAGAGCCCCTGCCCCCAGAGGTGTCATCCTCTACGCCATGGTAGCTGCCCTTCAAAGAGCACTGGCTGCACCACCTGCTGCTTCTAATATGCCATGGCCCCACCTTCCCATCAGGCCTGTGGCTAGGTGAGTGCTGCCACCCTGTGTCCTTCCCAAGTCCCAGCAGGAGATCTGGCCAAAAGGGTCACTGTGGGCCATGGAGGGGGTAACAAAGGACTTACTTGGCACCTCCCCACACCCTGCCCACTGTGGGAAGAGGGAAGCTGGGCTGGCTGCAAAAGGGCTTAAGACCTTAGAAAAGGTGAGCTCTGCACTAGCCCAAGGCAAGATGCCTCTCCTCTCAGTGCCTGTCTTCCAGTCGGTGTCAGGGGGAGGTCCTTCAGCTTACCCCTCAAAGCTAATTCTAGGTAGGGGATGAGCACAGGCTGGGGAAGCGACGGGAGAGGCTACAAGGTAGGTGGCAAAGGGGTAGGGACCGTGCACTGCAGCCATGAGTCCTTGCCTGAAGAATGGCAGGACCTGATCTGGGCCCTGCTTCAGCTGCGCCAACACGTGCGCCTAGACCTCCAGCAGGTAGCCACACACTCTTAGGCAGGGCCCCATGGCCAAACAGGAGGGCTATCCCTCAGCACCCAGACTGACTCCCCAGTAGGGTGCCAGGAGAGAATCCAGTGGAACCTAGAGTACTCAGAGCCCCCAAGGACGCTTCTGCAGCTGCGTTGCCCCCAGCAGCAGGAAACCCCCAAGAGTGCCTCTGGCCCAATGCCAGAGCCCCCAGAAGTCTGCCCTAGATGAGGTGTGGGATCTGCCAGGCTGGGGTTCCAGAGCATCACAAAGGCCAACTCAGGTGTGGGCACCTCCAGGAAGCTGCCTTCACTGTCAGGAGTGTGCTAGGGCACTACCCGGTCAACTGAGGGCGGGGGCATGGTGGTGGTGGTAGACAGGGTGGAAGCCACATAAACCATTTATTCTGTAGAGCCAGAAGTATAAACCAGTCGGCCTAGGGGAAACTGGCAATGCTCCTGAACCAGGGAAAAGGAGTCCACACAATCTCCATGCCAGAGCTTTAATTGGGGGAAGGGGAGTAGAAAGGATCTCAGAGGGAGATACCAGACACCCATGAAGCAATGAGCCTCCATGGGACAGCACAAGTGGCGCAGACCTCTAGCTTTGGAAATAGCACCAAGACAGAGGACATAAGAGGTGGGGGTGCTGGGAACTCCTGGGAAGCCAAGCTGCACTGCAGCACATACTTGGGTCCTGTGCAAAAGATAGCACTAGGTTTGGTGGGAGGCCCAGGAAGGGAATATAAAGGGGTGAGGGCCACACTGATAACTACTTGGAGGTTGCAGAATTAGGGGAACCACACATGGCACTGGGGAGGAGGTTCTGTGCTGGAAAGGAGATGCAAGGAGAACCAGGACATGGGTTAAGTGGGAAAGTGGAGAGGGTAAAGGGGAGGCAGCACCCAGTTAGTGCTTCAAGGACAGGCTAGGGGGGTGCAGCTCTAAGAGACCCCATGGACAGGATGTAGCTGGTGAAGGTCTCAAGAGGTCAGCCCATTGAGACTGAGGGGTCAGCTGAGGGCCCAGATGGAGGGACTTGGGGTGGGACTGGCAGGAAGGGGCACTGCTTGCATCTGGGTGCCTGCCTAGGCCTAGACCCCTAGAACTGGAAAGCTCCAGCTGGCCTATCAGGCTTGCGATGTTTTTCTGTCCAGCCCCACCACCACACCAGGGCCTCTATGGGCCGTTCCCCCCTGGAGGTACCCAAGGGCCACAGGACCTGGCCAGCTCTAGCTGAACAGTGCTCCTTTGAACAAGCTGCATTTTTGCTGGAAGCAACGGCACAGAGAGCTGCCCTCAATCCAATGTTTACGGGGCATTAACCTAGAGTCCTCAGCATGAACTCGGACCTTAAGTGTAGTTCTGCTTCACAGTAGGGCACAGTCTCTGAGCAAGGTGACCCAGAGGCCTGCAGGCAGCTGCAGGAAGGCCTGGTCTGGGAGGCCAGAGGCCAGGACTGATGGGCTAGTAAAGGTGGGCGTGGAGCTGGTGGTGAGCTGCAGGGGCCTCAGGTGGGTGCAGCCCCCTCTGCTTGTGGCTCTGGAGAAAGCTCCTGCTCCTGCTGCTCCCGCTGGCATTGCTCCTGCTCCTGGCTGTCTACCTGCTGCAGCTGCTGCTCCACATCCTCAGGCACCTGCACTTCCAGCAGGTTTTCCATGCCATGCTCTGGCTCATCCCCAATAAGTACCTGCAGCAGGGGTGGCAGGTGAGCAGCTACTGGCACACCATGAACATCTCCACCCCCCCA